TCTCATTTGTGGGATGTTTTCTCCAGGATGCCCTCTTTCCCTGGGTAACTCCCATTCAACTTTCTGGATTCAACCTTGGAGCACCCCCGTGACCAGCTGTCCCTATGGCTAGGATAGACATCCTTCTTGTGGCTTGCATGGCCCTCTGTGCCCTCTCTCACCTCAGCACAACTGTGCTCTATAGTGTAAATGCCTATTGCTTTGTGTCTCTCTCCTGCCAGTCTGGAAAAGCCCTGAGAGTAAGCGGTCCTATCTCTGGCTCTGTCCTCCACGCAGTCCTGCTGTCTGGCACATGGCAGGTATTCAACAATGGCTCAATGAGCACATAAATTCATCAAATTAATTAACCAAAGTGTTCAGCTGCCCAGAAGTCTAAACCTGCCCTTTCTATTTTACACCGAGAATAAGTTCATCAAAAACTCCTCCACAAAATGACTCCATGATCCATGCAGGCATTTGCCACAGAATCCATTTACCTTTGCTCAAAGGCAGTAAGTCAGATAATAGGACAATCAGGCCCTCTGGACACTGCCACATCACAGACATAGCTCCACCTCTCTGCTCCCCTCCTCCCATTCCATCCCAACCAAGTGAGGATTCAGGCTCAAGAAACATCTGTATAAACACTCACTCATTCAGTCTAGTAAACCACACTACAGAATCATTCCTCCTAGTTTCTTAGTGGAGAAACTGAGGCACAGGCAGGCTAAGTGGCTTTCCCACTGAAATACAGCAAACCAACGAAGAGGAAAATTAGCTCTCCAACCTCCCAGCAATTTCACCCCAAAGCACAGACTTCAGCCTGGATTGTTAGAATCCCAGGCAAGGATCCTAGGTATCCACAGCACAAACCTCTTTTAAAAATATCATGGATGAGGAGGAAATACCGGATCTGAAGGTTTATTTACCATTCCTTAGCTTGACCTTCCAGGAAGAATGTCACTAATGAGAAACAATCTACTTTGGCTCCCAAACCCAGAATTTTCATAGGGATCAATTTAGGATTTTGGTGTCTAAACAGGATAAGGGTAATGCTGACTGTCTTTCCTTTGGAGAAAAAGAAAAAAAAAAAAAGCAACTGAGTTTTTCCTGTCTAGAAGTTCTGCCTATGTGAAGCAAATCTCAGACCTGAGCTTACATTTCTCCCAGTATTCCAGCCTCCCTGGATATCCACTGGGAGAAGAAGGAGGGCATTGTCCTTCATGTGGTGAACTCTGAGGGAAGTAGAAAATGAAAGGGAAAGAAGTAGCTGGAACTTATGATCCTTAATTAAAGAACTGACCTTATACTTGAGCCAGGGGCCAGGAACTCTACTCTCAAGACAGATTCCATCCTAATCCACTTCCAAGCGACAGTTTGCTTCAATGTAAATGAGACATTTGCATTTCAGAAAGTGTAAGCACCATGCAGGCAGGGATCACATCTGTCTTGCTCTCTGCTGTATTCTGGTACCAAATGCCTGTCACCAGCAGGTCCACCTATTAAGTGAAGGAATTATACATCAGTCAATAAGTATTATTTCCATCTAAAAAGTAGTGTTTCCCAGCAGATGAAAAAAAAATAAGTTTTTCTTATTACTGGACCTAGAATTATCTGGATCAACTATCAGCTCATCTATTACCCTGTGGATAACAGCAGTGACAAATGCTACAATTGAACTGGTTATTAAATAGCATGAATGGTAAACTCATAAATTTTCTTAAAACTCTGCTCCACATATGAGTTGGTTGCAAAACCACTCAGGGCAACTTGACTCAAACCAATTCTGTCTGCAGCTATTCAGGCCTCAACCTCCCTTTTGAGAAGTCCAGCCTTCCCATTGGGATAACAAGGGTGCACAATGAATGATTCTAACTTTGTTATGTTGGCTGCAGGAGGGCTTGAGAGAGTCATGCAGAGTGGGGGGACCATGGAGTTGAGGGTAAAAACTGGCTTTGGCTGGGTACAGTGGCACTCACCTGTAATCCCAGTGGCTTAGGAGGCTGAGGCAAGAGGATCACGAGTTTAAAGCCAGCCTCAGCAAAAGTGAGATGCTAAGCAACTCAGTGAGACCCTGTCTCTAAATAAAATATGATATAGAGCTGGGAATGTGCCTCAGTGTTCGAGTGCCCCTAAGTTCAATTCCTGGCACTCCCTCCCCCCCGCAAAAAAAAAAAAAAAAAAAAACTGGCTTTGTCCACCCTGAATATATGGCTCTCTACTGTGACCTCAGGTTCTTTCTCTGCAAAACAAGGATAATATTTGTGCCTACTTTGTGGGGTTGTTGTGAAGGTTAAATAAGTCAACTGTATGCAGAGTACATGAAATAATTTCTGACACAGTATAAGTACTACATTTAAGTATACGTACTTATAAAATAAGAATCTCTGCATACCCCATGATCTCCCAACCTGCCTAAGGAGGAAAGTTTGATAACTTGGAGGTTCTACTTTTGTGTTTTCTATGCACCTGTTCCATCAAATTCCCCCAGACCAGAGACAGATGAAGATACAAGTTTGCACCCATGTTGAAAAGGAGAGCTGGAGAGTCTCCATTGCATGATCCTGGGAGAACCCTCACAGGAGGGGCAACTCCACAAACTCACCAGACTTAAACATAATCTGGGTCATTCTGTCTCCTTATTTAAATTGGTCACACCTCCAAGTGGAAATTACTTCTGTCCCAAGAGTGAGGGCATGCCGGGAAGAACTTCTAGGCTTGGAAAGGGATGTGGGTCCCTGGGAAAGCAGAGCTGAATCTCTCTGCTCAGCTGCAGCCTCAGGACCATTCAGTCTGGAGTCAGGACTTTCCACCAATTCAGTGATGGAATCCAGATATCTGGCTCCGGTTTAAATCATCATTGTCATCATCTCTTAACACAGGACATCAAAACATGAGTGCTTCTCAAATACCTCATGTCCACACGTATGGCCCATTTTTATGATTGAAGAAAAGATTCAGAAAGATTATCATTTGAGGAAAAATATGCTATTTAATCCAGACTGACTTGTTTTGATGTGTTGGTGACATCTTTCCATCTCATACTTGCATCTTCCTAATTAGCTGCTTGATAGCTTTATTGAATAGGTGTCGTGAATTACACATTCTCCTCCGAAGGTCAGTAACATCCAATTAACAATTATTGAAAAACCTTATTTATTATGAATGAAAGTTGGTTGCCAAAGCTAGGGTCCACTGGACTCTGGAGAATGGATCCCCCTGGTAAGGCTAGAGGAAAAACTAACTTTGAGCTCAGCCTTCCTGTAGGCTGGGAAATACTAGCCCCAGGTGCTCCCATTTCTCTGCCCAGTCTGCAGTCTGTGATTAGGGGCCCTAATGGCCATAATGCCTCCAATGTGGTGTTTAAACCAATAAGGCTTCAGAGAAGTTATGGTATGTTTAATAATGGCTTAATGACTCCTTGTGAGATGCAAGGCTTCTGGTTCCTGTTTGGCCTTGATTTACAGCCCAACTCTGGCTGAGGACAGCCAAGAAACCCCCTCTAAGCCTCCAACGGAAGAGGGAGGTGTTCACACCAGGCCTCTTTGATTCCTTTAAAAATTGAGAATTCAAATAAAATACAAATGATGTCTAACTCCCCACCCCTCTCTCGCTAGTCTCTAGGGCACTGAAAATATAAATGATTTAACCCAGACCTAGGGTTCCTCAATCCATGGGCAGTGATACAGGTCCTAAGGCCTTTTGGTATTTCTTCCCAAATCTTAGATAGGGTAGAGGTCATTTCTCTTTTCAGAAATGCTAAACTCTGTTGGAGCATGGTAGTATATACCTCAAGCCCAGTGACTCAGGAGGCTGAGGCAGGAGGATCACATGTTCAAGTTTCCTCCAGTTTCCTGGGCAACTTAGTGAGACCTTGTCTCAAAAAAATAAAATAAGAGTTGGGGTGTGGTTCAGTGGCAAAGTGCACCTCGGTGGGAGGGACCGTTAGAGAAGGAAAAATGCCAAGTTACTGCCCTAATCCAATGCTTCATTTTGACTGGAGATACCCAAATCTCAGGAGATGGGTTTCTACCCTGACCCCTCCATGATGACAGGCCTAGATGTCAGAGCCCTGGGGTCTGAGCTGGTGATAGCCTTTCTCCAGTGAGTTCCCAGACACTCTGAAACAGTCACTCACTCTGCCTATTGCTGAGGGGAACAGCAGTTCTTCAGTTCCTCCACCTGCTCCAAAAGCTGCCTCTGCCAGACCCTGTTCAATCCTGAGCTGCACCTGGGAGCCTCTCTGTCTTCTCCAGCCCTCTGCTCTGAAACTCACCAGGAATATTTAGAAAGATTATGGGACTTATTCTGTCCATTTCTACAGTCAGACGTGGACATGGAGACTGGTTCACAGCTGCACAGCTGATTAGTGACAGTATGCAGGCCCACGCTCCCCAGGCCCCACTTGCAATTTACAGCTCTTTCCACACAATGACCCCAATGACTCCTGTCCCTAAGAGGTCCCTAAGGGATATGTGCTGCTCTGGGAGGGACCTTTATCCAGCTCCCAGTTTAAAAAGAGCTAGGTAAGGGGCAGCTCACCCCTGCACCAGGCTCTCTCTCCTCCCAAGCATGCAGGAGACTAGGTCTAAGGGAGTTTATTGGGATCGGGGTCTGCCCCTACAGTCCCCCATCCCTTCGCGAACAAGAGCCCGATAGGGGGGATATCAGGACCAAGGGTGCAGCTCTGAGCGAGGGACTCACCCAGAGAGGTAGACAAAAAGGTTTCTGACCTCGAAAGGAAGCAGCCTTCCTTCTCCTCTCCTCCAACTGCTTGGGACACTGGGCTTGGGGTGAATCAGGGGGGTTCCCGGGCTCCGAGGGGTTAAACCGCGCGGTGCCGCACGTGACGTGGATAGTTCCAGCATTAAGTCAGAGGAGCGGCCCCCTCCTCTGTACCCCCCTCGCCCCCCGCGGCGCGCGCCGCTCCCGGGGGCTCCGCGCCCCTGAGCCCAGGTCCCTCCCCCTTGGCGGGAGCTCACAGGCCGCGCGGGTAGCGCGAGCCCCGGCGGCCTGTGAGCCCCGAACCGGCATGGACCCTGAGCGCTGCACGCCTTTCGGCGTGGGGCCCGCACCCGGCCCCTACGGGCCCGCAGGGGACGATTCTCCAGGTCCCCAGGGGACTCCAGCCGTTGCGCCTCACCTGCACCCCGCGCCGCCCTGCGGCCCGCGGCTGACCCGCTTTCCGGCCTGCGGGCCCCTGGAGCCCTACCTCCCAGAGCCAGCCAAGCCGCCCGCCAAGTACCTGCAGGACCTCGGGCCCGGCCCGGCGCCCAACGGCGGCCACTTCTACGAGGGCCCAGCGGAAGGTAACGCGCGGCGCCGCGGGTAGCGCGCAGCCCGACCCTCTCTCCTTCCCTACCCTGGCCCGCCTGGGCCTCCCCGCTTCTCCTTCCCGCTTGCTTATTTCTCAACTTTTTGCCCCTTTCGCCTTTGGCCACGGCTCCCTCGGAAGCCAGATTGCCCCTGGCCCGGGCTAGGCAAAGGCCAGTGCAGTGTGGGAGGCAAGGTCCCCGGTGGCCCCGGCGGCGGGAATGGGAGGCAGAAGGTCAAGGAGAGTGGAGCGGCGACAGCCCGGGGCCGAGTCGGGCCCGATGGCAGGAAGGAAAGATTATATTTGGCCGGAGTTGTGCTGGAACTGCCACCGACCCAGAAGCGAGGGCTGGGCCGAGGGTCCGGGAACCACCCTGAGCCCCGACGCTGGCTTTTGTGTCTGGCTCCCGTTGAGGACGCAGAGGCTGGGCCTCGACCTGGAGTGGCCAAGCGGGTCTCAGCGGAGGATTTGTGGCCTGACCTTGCTGGCCTTTTCTCCCCCCCGGCCCAGCCTCAGCAGGAAGGGCGCTGCCTATGAATTCGGCGTTCGGTGGAGTGGCCATAGCTGGTCCCACAGTGCGGGTACCATCTCAAGACAGAATAATTAAGTCCTTTATTTCTCAGACTAACCTGGCCTCCCCATCGTTTTTGCACGGTGATGGTCTTCTTCTCACCTTGGCGTCCCCGCGCAGGATCCTCCTCTCCGTTGGGCCGTCGGGAACAGCCCTGGGCGGGCCTAAACCCTGGGCTCCTCGGGCTCCTGGGCTAAGGCCCACTGGGCCGGACCACCATCCAGGAACGTGTCAGAACTGGTCCGCCGCCCGGCCGCCGCCCACTACACCCGCTGACCTGCGGGACTCTGCGCTCACGCCCACCTCACTTTTGCTGCCACATCCCGCAGCTGAGGCCCAGAGCTGGATCCTCAGAGATCCGCCCATCCCGCAACCGCCCTGCCTTGCTGGCGCTTCTAGGCCCTCTACCGAGTGGCTGGACAATTCGGGCCTTAATCCAGCCTGGGCGGTAGGAGTGTGTAGGGGAGGGCGGGGAGGTGTGTGGGGGTCAGTGGAGGAAATGAGCGAGTCCGCGGAGCTTCGTGTCTGTGCACTTTGAAAGAGGTTCTACTGATAAAAACCACAGTTGGGACTTAATGAGAAGCAGTTGGTCTGGCTCCTCTGATCCCTGCCAGACGGCGGCGGCCGCGCAGTGTCGAGAGCACCGCCAGGGACAGGTACCCGGCCTGGCTCAGCGCGCCCGCATCCAGCAGGAACCACTCTCTCGCCCGCGTTGCGCTGTTTGCGCTGCATCCTGCCGAGACCGTCCGGGTGCCTGGACAGCCCCGGAGCTGAGCTCACTGCGGGGAACGCTAGGGCGGAATAAACGGCTGGGAGGAACCCAGCAACCTGGGATCATCCGACGGCAAGGATGCGTTGACAACGAACGAATTGCGGAGAAAGAAAGCCCCATAGTGTAAACAACTAAAAAGGAGGAGGAGGGGAGAACTGAACAAAACAACGGAAGAGGGCGGCGAGGACAGAGAAACGGTCGACGGCGAACTGGGCAGAAGAACCGAAAGGAATAAATGAACGAACGAACGAACGAAAAAAGAAGCAAGCGGAAGATCGAACCAAGCGGGTAAACGAGAAAGAGGGAAAAGACGGAGAGAGGGAGAACAGATAAAACGAAAGAAAACGAGACATCCAGAAAGCATAGAGCCTAACAAAATGGGAACAAGTGGGATAGAAAACTAACAATTCAAGATGAGCGGACGACAGGCCAAACGAAAAGAAGGCGCGGCGGTGAGAGAGGAGCCTGGAAGGAGACCCTGGCCGCTGCTCACCTACCCAGGAGTCTTGCTTTGTCAAGCTCTCTGGCGGCGCCACAGCAGAGAGGACCTTGGCGCTGTTGCTGGGAGGGGGTAGCCAAAGGGACTCAGGCCACGCAGCCTACTTGGTGCGAACTGATGGGCGAAGGGGGATACTGCCTTTTTTCCCTGCTTTTAAAATACTGGGCTCGGAGCGTTTCCAGTTCAGACCAGTGAGCGCAGCAGCTGTGCCCCATCTGCGGTTCGATCTTTGCCGAGGCCACACATTTGCGCTCTTGGGAGCCTTGCGCTCCGAGCAGAGCCCTCGCCTTGCACCCTCGCCCTGACGGTCTCAGGCTGCCCTTTTCAGAGAACTCCCAGCTCTGCTCTGGACCCTGGCTATGTCCTAGCGGTATCACCCTAGTGCCTTCAGCTCCTGGATGTTCTGAGGACTGGGAAAGTGATCAGCAGTTTCTTCTTGTTCCTCGCTAATCTGTCCCCAGGCATGGTTTCCTGACCTCGGAACTCGCCCTCAGGCAAAGACTCCTGCTGGACTTTTGCCCCCAAAATCCACCCCACCTAGGCTGAGTCTCAGAGGCCGGTCTTGGAGGTGAAGGAACGTCCCAAATCCTTGGTCCCAGGCTGAGGCTTCTAAGTCAAGGCAGAGGACCTCTCCAAGGGAGAGTACCAAAGCCCCTTCAGGGGTCCTGCGTTTATGTCCACTCCAGTATTTGCCAGAGTTACGGGTACCCAGCTGTCAGAATAACTTCGGAATCGCTTAGACCCCAGCGGGGCGGCAGGAAACAGCGGACTACAGAGCAAAAGTTCAGCAAGAGGTATTTGGTCCTGCCGCTGCTGCCCTGCTGCCGCAGATGTCATCCCACCGGACCAGGGCTATCAGTAGGCAGCCTAGAGAGGTGCAGTTTCTGTGCAGCCCAGGGGCTTGAAGGGAGCACCTAGTGGGCTGTGGTGTGTGGCAGGTGTGAGGTCCAGGTCCAGGGTCAGGGACAGAGAACTTTGGTTGGTATGTTCCCCAGTTCATCCTGGCTCCTGGCTTTCACTCTGGACAAATTGTGTGTGTGGTTCTGAGGTTGTGGAGGCAGAGGACACTGTGGGTATTGAGCCTCAGGCTCCCAGTGTCCATCCAACATGAGTACTCTCTCTCTCTCTGCCATCCACTGTCTGGACAGGGTGCAGTGTCTCCTATACACACCTCAGATATGTCCCCTTAACAGAGCAGGCTTCCCTGAAAAGTTTAGACTCAAATTGCTGGCTTTCATTCCTGGGTGGCCTTTTCATGATTGCTGCCTTCCATTTCTTTCTATTTCTCTCTCTCTTTCTTTCTTTCTGTACTGGGGATTGAACCCAGGGTGCTCTAATACTGAACTACATCCCCAGCCTTATTTATTAATAGAGACAAGGTCTCCCTCAGTCACCCAGACTGGCCTCAGACTTGCAATTCTCCTTCCTAGGCCTCCCCAATAGCTGGAATTACAGGCATGTGCCTGGCCATTTATCCTCTTTTAATGTGTTCTCTCCTGGACCTTGCTCCTCAGGAGGCTGCTCAGTGTTCTCTGAGAAACCACCCTGTGTCCCAAAGAAGGGAGATACTTGCTCTCCCTGGAATCCTCTCAGCAGATCAAGGAGGTTTCAAAGTAATGGCAATGAGAAGAGAGTAGTTCGTTGGTCCTTGGAGAGGGCTATAGACTGGGCAGGAATGGGAGGTGTGTGAAAGGCCAGCTGGCTTGGGCTCTTTCTTGGAGTAGCTGTTCTAAAAAAATCCTCCTGCACTTTCATCCCTTGACCCTAATAGCTGGGTAGCTCAAGATCAGGAAAGCAAGTCCCAGGACCCCAAATCTGATCATTTTCTCTGGGCAGGTCCTATTAGATAGACAGCCAAGGGTGCAAGAGATAGATGAGCAAACCCCAGGGCTTTGCAGCGCTCTCCACAGTGTTACCAGTCCTCTTGGAACTCCTACTCTGACCTACTGTCACTCCTTTCCTGCCTAGAGTCAAACATAGCCTCCCTGAGAACCCAAGAAGCCAAGACTCTTCCCTTTCAGGTCATTTTGAGGAACTACCATATGAGGGGTGTCCCCTTTCTAGTCTCCCTGCTTTCCCTGACCATTTTCAATTATTAGATTCAACTTCTGTGAGTTCTCCTTCCTAAACTTCTACCAAATGAAACCACCCCTAGAGCCAAACTATGTTTTCCAAGAGTGGAACATTTCTTCCCCTGGGTTACACCTGAGTTGTGAAGGACTACTGGTGTCTGAGCTATCGCTGCAGTCTGGGCATAATCAGAGGCCAAGCACTGTCTGACTGTCCCAGGCCTCCAGGACATATATGGGGAGCTTATTACAGAGCCTGGGTGGTCATGAGAATTCACTGATGACCTTCCAGAACTTGTGCCCCACCTTGCAGATAGGGGACTCCTTTGACCCAGATCCTGAGAAGCCTGTCTCTGGTTATATCCCCCCATAACTGCAGCCGTGACCCCATCACCAATCCTCAGGAAGAAACTTACATTTTGGTGCCAGCTAACTGGGCCTCCTGAGAGCCAGGCCCCCACTGGAGATGGGCCTGGGCCAGGGAAGGGGTGGTATGAGTCAGTGGAGCGTCTTTGTGGCGTCGTGGTTGTCATCCCAGTGGACTGTCGAGGAGGGATTTCATGGGGACACTGCTGGGGGTCCTTACCAGAGGGAGAGGGCGGGGGCGATCAGGGTGACCTATTTTTCACCATGCCCTGTCGGTCAGTCATGGTGGGGCTCTGACAAGTTTCCTGAGTGAGGGTTAGCACGTCAGAGTGGGGCTGCTGGGAACTGTGCCCAGTCTGCAATCGAGCCTCCCTGTTTGTTAATCACAGGCAAATAGGGAGCAGTCAGAAACTCCTGAGGAGGGAGGAGTAGGCATGACAAGAAAGACAGAGAAAGGGGCCTGTGCCCCATTTCAACACTGGTCCCCCACCTCCCCTTCTCCAAGTATAGCCTATCTGGCCTCCATCTCTCCATTGTTGGAGCTTAAGTCCTTGTCCAGACAACTTTAGGGGAAAGAGGCGACTTCCTTGGAAGCTTCTTTGTCGTCCCATCTTGTCCTTCACATAGCAGAGCTGGGGGATTTAATGTTGACCTGAGACTTGGGGTTCAGAGAATGAGACCCAGACAGCCCAATTAAAGGTGGTCTAAGCATCTCCACGCACTGCCATCTGATCCTGGAAGCTGACACGTGAGCATAAGGGTGTGGGAACCAAGACCTGCAGAGTCAGGAACAAGGGAGACCTTCCTGGCAGGAATGGGAGATGTCAACCACCCTGTCCTCACCCCCGCCTCCATTCTTGGCCCTGCCAGGGTGGCGGTCCCGGCTATGGCGCCAATCCCGGCACCTCCACACCCTGTGGGATGCACCACCACAGAGCACTTCCCCGAAATGAACCCCCCCCTCTGGCCCCAGCAGATCCGCCCAGACCACAGAGCACATGGTTCCCTAGGGCCCCCTCCCCAGCTGGAGGCTCAGCAGGCAGGCCTCTGAATGCCAGGCTCCCATGGAGGGTGGCTGCTGGGAGGAAGGGCAGGGAAGGGAAAGGCAGGGGGAGGCGGAGACTGGAGCGTCAGTGTTCTTCCCCTCCCTCCATTCCACCCACAAAACCCCCGGTTCTCTTTCCATCCTCCTTTCTGTGTTTCCATTGCAGCTGAGGAGACAGCTTCCAAAGCCGCCAGCTTCCCTCAGCTGCCCTTGGACTGCCGAGGGGGCCCCAGAGACGGGCCCGCTAACTTGCAAGGCTCCCCAGGTCCCTGCCTGGCCAGTCTTCGTGTCCCTCTTTCCCCGGGACTCCCTGACTCCATGGAGTTAGCCAAGAACAAGAGCAAGAAGCGCCGTAACCGCACAACCTTCAGCACATTCCAGCTGGAGGAGTTGGAGAAGGTCTTCCAGAAAACCCACTACCCTGATGTGTACGCCCGGGAGCAGCTGGCTCTGCGCACAGACCTGACCGAGGCTCGGGTTCAGGTGAGGGCACCATGGACATTGGGTTCCCTGGCTGCCTTGGCCACTTGGACCATGGGCCAGACAGTGGAAGGGCTGGGAGAGGCAGCAATAGCACCTCACAGAACTGTTCCACCCAGGCCAGCCTGAGTCTGGCCTACTGGGGCTCACCCTCCATGCCCAGCTTCCCTACAGTCACAGGTTCTTCCAGCCTAAGTCAAGGTTTACATGTGGGTAAAGGGATAATGGCCTTTTGGAGCTGAAAAAGCTGTGTGGGAGTCCTAACTCTACCATTTACTAGCTGCTCAGGTGATTTGGGGGCATGTGATTGAATCTCACTCTCAGTATCTCACTTCAGGAAAAGGGAAGTTAGCAGCAACTTAACCTTGAGGATCACAGATGGAGCAGCATTTTAGAAGCAGCGAAGTGCCAAACACAGATCAGGACTCCCAAGGTGGCTGCCCAGAACAGGAATATCCCTGATAGGGGTGTCAGGGTCATTATGAGCCAGTCACCTTTAGCCTCAGCCAGCTCCCAGACCCTTCCTAGGAGACCCTAGCTGGGAATCCTTCCATACCCCAACAAACTCTCCCCATGGACACCAGGTCCAGGGCTTCCAGGATGGGGCTGTGGTCTGCTTCCCTTAACAGGGAGCCCAGCCTGTGGAGAGGGTGGGTAGATGCTGAGAAAGAGGGAAGAGAAGGTACAGCACAAGTCTGGCCCAGAAGGAAGTTGTTGTTTGCACCCATTTACTCATAGCAGTCTCCCCCATGCCAAGCAGGAGGTGGGGTGGGATTCTAGGGAAAGTTGAGGTGACTGCTCCAGTGGAAGAGTCTGCCTCCCTCACCAGGTGGCACTTGGCAGGGACAAAGCTCATGCTTATCATGCCTTGCAGAGGCCCTTCCAGAGATTCTTTAAAGGTGCTGGTCTGGGGGCCAACTTCGGATATATGGGGTGTGGCAGACTAGTCTACAGAGGCCAACTGCCATTAAGCAGAGAAGACCTCAAAGCTGGATCCAACACAGAAAAACAGGGGCTTAGGCTGTTTCTCCTTCTCTGCTGGGTTCTTCTGCCTCCTTGTTCCTCCCAGATGATACCTAACACAGACTTTCAGGACCATCTCCTCAGGCTCTCCAGGGCATGGATTCATCAAGAAAAGTGTCCCCGCATTCAAAACAAATTCAGATTACACAAGCTATGGAAATCCAGAACAGGGATCTCTGGAGCATGTAAGCAGGCTTTTGGGGTGGGCTCTGAATAGCTGTTCCCTATGGAGGTGCTTGGAGGAATGACACATACCGCACTCACTCCCTTATAGGCCTTTCAACCCTGGAAGGGTGCAGGGGGAGCCATAAGGCTCCCAGACCCAGTCCAGAAGCTTCCCCAACAATCAAAGGTCTCCAGTAGAGATGTTTCTCTGAGAGAAGCATGACACTCACCCATAAATCCCATCCCATGGGGAGGAATAATAATAAGACCACATCTGGACAATGCATAGGGCAGATCCAGAGTACAGGTGGAGGTCCACAGTGGAGATTTCAGGAGAAAATGGGTGGTGAAAGGGAAGTAATTCCCAGTAAAGTCAACAGATTGGCTGGCTCCAGCCTTCTTTATTCGCCTGCAGAGGAGCGAGAGTAGACAAAGGAAATCCAGGCAGATGGGCAGGCAACTGGCCTTTTCTGACCTGGGCCAGGCCTGTTCTGGGAATCTCTGCAACCTGGGAGTGAGGGGATTAGAGCTATGGACAGTCTCTTAACTATCAGGGCCCTGCCTGCCTTCATGAGGAAGAATGACCATGGAGAGGAGGGTAGGGAGTATGAGGATTGGGGAATTTTTCATCCCAGCCCAGATAGTTGTGTTACTTAAAATGCACACATGCATGTGCATGCATGCACGCACGCACACACACACACACACAGACACACACACAGAGTTATTTGTTTGGTTTTGTTTTGATATTATCAACATCTAACCCAAGCTTTGACACATAAATATCTGTTAAATTACAGAAGTAAAAAATACATACAATAATACATGCAACAGTATAGGGGCTCAACAAGAAATTCATCTCAAACATAGATGTGCACAACACAGATATGCCACCCCTACCGAGAGCTCACAAATTAATGGGAGAGAGATTCCCAAGATTATGGTCACAGAATGTGGAGAGCATGATGAGAAAGGGCAGATAGAGGTGCCTAGCCTGAATATGTACTGGGGAGGCAGGTAACCCAGGTAGGCAAAACCTTAGCCAAATTGGCAAGGAGCAAGACCTCTGAGTGTCTTGAAGGAGGGCTATGGCCAATAAGGAGACAAGTAAGAAGAACTCAGTGCTCTTGCCTGGCAGGACTAGAGGCTGTGGAGTGGGCAGGGGCCAGTCCTAAAGGGTCTTGTTAAAGAGCTAGGTTCTGAGCCAAACTCTCTAGCAAGCCACTGAGAGTTTAAACAAGACCATGACCTGAACAAGAATGTCTTTATGATTCCTTGGATGCTGCCAGGTGGGTAGATGGAAAAGGAAAATAGGCAGGGAGACTAGAACTCCAAAACCCATGCACTGGAACACTAGAAAGTGCCCTGGGACTCTGAGGTCCACAAACCCCCCATATGCCCTGACCAGACACAGCCTGGCTGGAGAACTAAAGAGTAATTCAGCATGGGGAATGTTAGCTGAGGGCCTATGGGGCCAGTAAACCTCTCTGGGCTTGGCCCTGAAGACAGTGTGGACTCACAAGCCCCCACAGTTCCACAGTTCCAGATCCTCCAGCCTAGAGCCAGCTTCCACTCTACAGGACACAAACATCAGCTCTCTCCCCAGCAGGCTCCTCAGGGTTGCTATAGCACTCCCTCAATCCTCCCCAACCTATCCCCAGGTCTGGTTCCAGAATCGCAGAGCCAAGTGGCGGAAGCGTGAGCGTTATGGGAAGATGCAGGAGGGACGGAACCCCTTCACAGCTGCCTATGACATCTCTGTGCTGCCCCGCACTGACAGTCACCCCCAGGTGAGACCCTAACCCCCCTCAAGTCAGGCCCTGGTGGGGTCACCAGAGAGAACATGAGCTCTGGCCCACAGAGACCTGGAATAGCATCAGGGCCCTGTGTGACTTGAGCAAACCCCTTAATTTCCTCTGCAAATCAGCTCTTGCCCCCTAAGTGACACCTGAAGAGCACAAGGAATCATAGAAGGAAGTTTTGTTTGGAGAAGCAGTGGTGGGCCTCTGGATGCCAGTGGGGGTGGTGGTTAGAGGTGACAGCTCTAGGCCAAATGGATGATTCTTATGAAGATTCTGGGGCCTCAAGACAAAGGGAGAATGACTAGGGAAGGCAGGCAGCTCCCCAGGGCTGCTGGCTCATGGCCTTCCTTTTCCCTCTCTTTTCAGCTGCAGAGCTCCCTGTGGCCCAGTCCAGGGCCCGGGAGCCCAGGAGGCCCTTGCCTTGTCTCTCCAGAGGGCATTCCCTCCCCATGCATGTCCCCATACTCCCACTCCCATGGGAATGTGGCTGGCTTCATGGGGGTGCCAGCCTCCCCTGCAGCCCACCCTGGCATCTACTCCATCCACAGCTTTCCTGCTGCCCTGGGGGGCCACAGCTTTGAGCCCTCTCCGGATGGCGACTACAAGTCTCCAAGTCTCGTCTCACTCAGGGTGAAGCCCAAGGAGCCGCCCAGCCTGCTGAACTGGACCACGTGATGGGTGGCATTGATATGTAACTGAGCTGCCCACCCCCATTTATGTTCTGAGCTGCTCTGGGCCCACCCTGCCTGGACAGCAGAGAGCACACACATCTGCTTCCAGGGGCCTTGGAGAGCAGCAGGGACCCTCAGCCCTGGCAGGAAACATGCAATAGGGTCTTTCCTTTAGGACTATTTAGGAGAAAGGGGTTTCTAAGCAGACAGGATCCTTCCTGTTACAAAAGTCCTTTCATTCAAACTGGACTGGAGGGAGGGACATTGCCCTGCCTACTCCAGACTGCCCAAGTCCAGCTGTTGCCTTTCCAGCTAAAAAGGCCCAACTCTTCATTCAGGGAGCCCAGGAAAAAGGGAGAAGAAAATTGAACTGGGAGGAACTCTTTGTTACACAGGGGAAACCAAAGAGTTTGGTTTATGACAAAGGGGAAACCAGAGTCGAGGGTTGGCCTCACTTCTCCCACCACCGAGGGGCATGCACCCAGTGTCTGGCTTGGAGGACAGCATGAATGGTGTGGTCTCCTCTGCTCCAGCCATCCCTTACTCCTGCCCTGTGCCCGATCTCCCAACATGCTATGCAGTCATCTCCTCCAAAGGGCAGAAATTCCTCCAGAAACCACCAAATATTTGGATTCGCTTCCATGGGACCAGAGCAGGCTAGGCCATGGAAGCCGTGTTAGATGTAGGTCAGATTCAAACAGATTTCTATAGTCTCGGAGCCCCTGGGATTCTAACCCCCATTTTTGTAAAGATACTTTTGTAAACAAAACAAGTGTTGCCCGGCATTGTGATAAAAATGGTGGTGTTTTTATATGAGGGGACTGTGTATCCTCAGGGCTTGGCACTCACTTGCTTTTGGACTGGTTCGTGTCTAGGATCCTGATGGGCCACCAAGGATTCCGGAGCCCAGGGGAATGTGGGCCTGCTGCAGAGCCCTCAGGAATGATGAATGGCATGCTAGGCCCTGTTACCCGCACAGGGTCTCTTGTGGCTTCAGTGGGTGCTGGGAGGCAGGAAATTTGGGCATTGGAAAGAAGCAAAAAGCTGAGTTTGTGCTGGAACTGACAATGGAGGGGAGAATGAAAGAACAGGGTGCCCACCAAAGGCTCTGAGCTCCTGGGGTCTGGGACCCCAGAGTGCTGGGGGTGGGGCAACTGCCTCTCCCAGATGCCCCAGAAGCACGCCTGAGCTGTGGGGCGGAGACAAAAGCCAGAACTCTTTCTTGTGGTTTCCGAGTATTACCCATTCTATCCTTCATCCCCACTTTCTGCCTTATCTCTGAAGCCTGAAAGGCAGGAAAAAAGCAAGCCTGGCCCTCCTACCCTCCCAGTAAACACAACCACATTGCTCAGAAGAATTCCACCTCAGACACAGCCCAGCGACCCCCACCTCACGCCTCATCTTTCAGGCACAGAGAAACCCAAGCACGCAGACACATGAGTGCTGTGCCTATTCCCAAACAGGGAGCAAGTCTCCCCATGAGATCAGATTTCCCAGCCAAGAAAGTCACTGTGATGAAGCCACACATCCCCAGAGGAGCCAGAGCCAATGTCTTCCCTCTTCTCCCTAGCTACTGGTGACTTCTTTCCTCTGTCCAGATACCAACAGTAGGAGGGGCTGATCAGAAAGGGTGGAGTCAGGACAGGAGGGAGAGGTCCCCCAGCTACCTCCATGAGCCTCCTAGACCTTCACCCACTGGTCAGTGGTAGAACTGAGGCTTGAGCCTCCACCTCTGACTCCAGGGCCCACACCACTGCACTAGAAGTTTCTTCACCCACAGAGTGGTCAGCAAAGGTCTGGAGCTTTTGCTCCACAAAAACGAGAACTGTAAAGAAGTTGGTTTGTTCTAAAACAATTGTTGAGGTTCTACTCTGTGCTTATAACTATGTGCCAGAGACAAGGATTGAGAAAAACATGATTCCTTCTTTCTCAACTTAGAAAGATGGAGGGAGGGAGGAAGAAGGAATCTGTGAAACTTAAGCAAAGGAAGCTGAAGTGGAAACAAGACAGGAGAAGGAAAGTCAAGCCTGAGATACAGGCAGCAAGAGTGGTATAGAGGCAGGGAGAGGCCAGAGGCAAAGGCCGGAGAGGGCCCATGTTGGGGGGGAGACCTGCTGGGGAAGGGCACAGGGAGGCCATAGACCAGCTACTGGCTCCCATCCAGGGGCATCTGTCCACAGCTCATATTTTTCTGTCCAGTGACAGCTAAATGAAGAGAAAGCTAACTTTACAACCGCCCACTTCACACATAATGAATATGAATGGGTATCCCGGAGCCTGTTCCATGGGATTATCTGTGAGCTGACGGGTCCTCCCACTGACTGGGCCATCTCAGCCGCCTGTCCCCTGGCTGGGTCAGGGGCAGCCCTTCCACCTGCTTCCCATTAGCTGTGCCTCCCTCCTCCCCCACACCCTTCAGACACAGCCCCAGGTCTTCCAGAAGCCCCTGCCCCCAGTCTCACTCCACAGGTGACCTGAGACCTTAGTGTAGGCCCTGCATTTTCCCAAGGCCAGGCTGGGGCTCCACTCACTCCTAGGACAAGGAAGGGGAAGTGACCCCACCAGGAATCCCAATGTTAGAAGAGCTGCTGGGCTCAACCTCCCTTTGCTGAAGCTCTTCTCGGCCCCAGTGAGGCCCACCTCAAGATTCAGACTTTCAATCTTGGTCCTGGCATGGACCAAGTCAGGACTAGAGGGTTCTAGCCATGGAGCTCATCAGTCCAGGCTTCCTGCTTCAATAGGGCACTGGGAAATTCAAGAGGCATTCAATCCTCCCCCCACTTCCCCCAGCCCCTTCCACATCAACCTGAATTACAACCCCAAAGTGCAAACTCTCTATAGCCACAGATAGGAACAAAGCCCCAGAATGGCCAGAAGTGGGCAGACATTTCCCTGCACCAGCAAAGGGAGCACACACCTTACCCCTGCCCCAGCCTCCCCCTCTGGGCATCTGTGCCCAGAGCCTTTGATCCTGAGGCCTAAGGCCAGACCCACTCCCTTCCCATTCAGACTGAAGGCCCAGTCTCTCCTCAAGTGGGAGGATACTGGCTACGACCACAGGGACCTTCAGATGTCTACCTGTCCCATAAGAGAAGGAAGAGTCTGCAGTGTCCTATTCACCTGAACATCCAGGGTACCTAGGCACAAAGCCTAGTCCAGAGCAGGACTTCAAGGTATGACAGTAGGGTTGCCAGCTGTGGCTGGCTCTTCTTCCATTCAGAGCAGCGAACTAGGATAGAGTGTAGGCCTAAGATGTGGTTCTGCTCTTCAACATTTGGTTCTGGTCCTGGAAGGGGATTTATTTTCTAAGGAACATAGGAAATGGATGCAAATTCATAGGTTAGTCGTGCAAGGGCCATTAGCCATGCTAACAACTGCTACCAATTATTGTTGTCCCTTGCCAGCCAGGTATGTGGTTCCATTACCCATTCTTATTCAGCCCTCACCTCGGGGCTATTATGAAACCCAGTTTCACAGTTGAGCTAACTGAAGCATAGAGCTTGATTAGCTTCAAGCCTCTCAGCAAGTAAATGTCAGAGGCTGGATTGAAAGTCAGGGCTATCTCAATCCCAAAGGGAGCAAACCCCTTATTTTATAGCAACTGCCTGAGGCTGACTGCAACAAGTACCGAATGAATACAGCAGCCACTGCAACTGAATGGTCAGTTCATTAGATGACAGACAGGAAGTCAGCCTTGAAGGAGATAAGCCCAGTAGGTATGGCAGGGGGGGCTGACACAGAAGGCCTCTGGGAATGAGAGAAAGAAGTTAGGGTTCAGAAGATAAAGAGGGGGGAAAAAAAGGTAGCAGCAACCCCCAAGTTACCTTGAGGGCATCACAGTAAACTAGAAGGTAGACCAAGTCCAAGGCTGGGTGACCTAGTTAGGACCTAAAGCCAGGGACATCTGCCATGACTCTTCTGTGCCAGGGACCAGGATAGAGCAAATACTAAGTACTGACTGAGGTGAACAAATGGGCACACTGGTGGAATATGCTGGGGATGATTAGTATAAAGTGGAACACGTATATTGCAAGGGCCTGGGTGTAAGTTCTAGCTCTAGCCCTTATAAGATCTTGGGCAAGTTCTTTACCCTCTCTGGGCCACGGTCCTCTCATATGCAAAACAGGGATTGCAATGGTATTTCCCTTTCAGGCTTATTGTGAGAAATGGATATTCTACATAAAGTGTTTATAACAGTAGCTGGCATAGTAAATACTCAGCATTTGCTGAAAACTAAAGTAGAAAAATGTACGATATCGTGTCTGGCACTTGTTTGGCTTCCATTAAGTGGTACTCTTATGATTAATGAGGGACAGTTCCCATCTTCAAAGGGATATAAGCCTCAAGTAATGTGACCCTGTGTGGATAAGGAGCTCTGGACCACAACTGGCTTAGCAATAAACAATATTCTATGTTAAGCATTTATCAAGGGCTTTGTGTACCCCACCTATCTCATCATCCTGATGTGATATAATGACTGGGTGGCTCCAAAAGATATTTCTGCACAAGGACCTGGGTTCAACATACCACTAGCAAACTCTGCAGCTGTGAAAAGCCCCTTGCCCTCCCTGGGCCAGTGTCTGGGCCAACAGATGAAGGGATTCACTTGCTCAGGTTTGACAGTCCTGTGTTTTTTTCTGCAGGTTAGAGGAGAGATTGGGAAGTCAACAGAGAAGGGGACCAAAGCTTCAGGCCACGCAATTTCAGTGACCTGGTTGCATGCTGTAAGAATGTGAAGAAGCTATCTTTACCACATGGGAATCTCAAGATACATACTTCCTATCAGTCCTGGCCAAAAAAAAAAAAAAAAAAAAAAATCCATCACACACCCAAGAACAGTGTCAAACTCCTTTGTCCTGTGCAAGTTCCTTTGGGAAAAAGTGCCATTCAGTCATAGAGACGTCCCATCCCAAAGGTTTTGTGACCCTTGAGTGCACTGATGGCTTCTGTTTGGTGCTCCTAATTATGCTGCACAGCATGGCCAATCCCGAGTTTCAGCAAGCACCAAACCTATGCACCAACAAAGGGGACTTTCTCTGCAAAATGCTTCCTTTATCAGTCAAGACCCCTTTGAAGATTTAAGGCCTCATACATACTGCTTAGAAGTAAGATAAAGAACCTTCTAGCAATTTTGAAAAGGAAACAGTCCTTTCACCAGTAATGAAAATGGTAATATCCACTGAGGTAGAGGCCGAAAGTGGAGAGAGAGAGAGCCAGACTTGATTAGGGATCTGAGAGCAAATGTAGGTTCCAGGAGGCCTCAAACTGATGCCTACCTGCCTTAAGGTTTTCCTTGCTTCTCCCTCGGCCATGGGAAACTCCCCTAATACTCTTTCCCACTGTGAAGCTGGCTCCTGATGGTCTGTTTCCTGGGTTCTGAGCACCTAAATTTCCTCTCAATCTCAATCATGTGCCCCAGTGAGGGTCTGAGCAGCTGACCTCCACTATGACCAAGCATTGAAACTGGTTTGGTTGAGGCCAGCTCAGGGAGGGTTATTCTAAGAAAGCTGGGGCTCCCACCGAAACCATAACAAACCCAGGGTGCAGGAACACTCATAACTCCATAACCTGGAGCCCTGGAGCTGGGTTGGAGCCATCCAAGACTGATGTGGGGAGATGACATTTTGGAAATTTGTAGAAAGGCAGAAATGAGAATGAGAAAGGCAGAAATGAATGAGAAAGGCAGAAATCCTGACAGAGGACAAATGGGTGACCTATCAATGCTGGCAGAAAAAGCTACTTTTGAGATCTGGAGATTTTTAGAGGCCACATTTTCTGCAGACAAGGCCATGGGGATTGTTTTTGTTTCCT